CATAACTTTGCCGACATGTGGCCAACAGTAATGTTTTAATGTTCTTCGTTATTAAACATTTGCACATAAATAAGTGACATAATATTCAGTACTTAAAGTTCACTCTTCGGCTGCCCCTCATCCGCCGTTTTTTTCGGCAAAATTATCCACACGCACCGCCGCGCTATGCATTCTGGGATATGTTGGGCCACTAAGTCTACACCACCACATCCTTAAAATTCAGGGAAATGAAGGACGCATGTGAGGGCCGCATTTCGAGCAGCCTTTGAATTGGGACAGCCTTCGGCGCGCCGCTGTGACGTAATCGGCCTTAAAATGCGGCCTTTAAGGCTGCAGACCCTGAATAGGGATACAGCCTTCAAGACATGTTGAGGAGGCCATTTAGCCATTTCAATCAGCTGTGTTGGATCAAGGACACATCCAAAACCTGCACGACATTGGCCTTCGAGGCCTGGAGTTCGAGACCTGTGTATTAGAGCATAAGAACAAACTTAAACCTCCCATTATCCTTATTGTATTGTATTTAGTTAGCACAAGTTGGGAATGTTTTATTTAAACATCATTTATTTGGACTTTATACAGCCTATGTAAGTAGGCCGGGCGCTACAACTTCAAGCAGGTGTGCGCGCTCCCGCGGGCGGCAATCACGATCACTTTCTGGCACAACACCTGGAGCTCAGGGAGTCATGATAAACAATATATACGCGTGTTTTTCCTCAATAGTTTCATGTTTACTGTCTAAGGACAGCGCAGCGAGCACGCTCTGCTTATGAGCAAGAAATAAAAAAACAAAACATAAAACAGCCCGTTTGTGTTGGTGGAAAAATGCACCATGTCGACCAATCAAAAAATGATTTGGCAACATGACGTTTGGTTGTTTAGGAAGAGAGAGAGCGAGACAGCAGAAAGAGAGAGAGCGAGTTTTGAGATGTGAGAGATTTGTGACGTTTAGCGTGTTTGCAGTGTGTAGTTAGTGTGTAGTGTTGTGTAGTTAGTGTGTAGTGTTGTGGATAGTTTTGTGTTGTGTGTCAGAACAATGAGGCGACTGCTGTCTCCAGGTAGAAACAGGAGTGACACACCTGCTGCTGTCAGACCTGCAGGTATCAGGCTGTGATGTTTCCTTTATAGTGGACAGAAATATTTGGAGTGGCACAAATAATTTGTGGCATCTTATTGAAGAACAGCTGATTGTTCTGTAAATAGAAATAAATATAAAAATATAAATTGTGTAAATAGTTTGAAAAGATTATTTAAAAAAAAAAAAAAGGGTCAAAGGTAAATGGCTGCAAATAACTTTTTTGTTTGCAAAACTTGTGCGTATGATTTTACACATGGAGACACAAATATAAACTGACAATTTATATTTGCATTTAAAGTTATGAAATATGATCAATGAACATGTTTGTGGTTGTTACAGTAAAAAATATCACTTTCTACCCAGATTTTATGTTTTTTGTCTGATTTTAGATCAATTGTGTTAGTACAGTCTGTCAAAATGAAAACAAAGCTGTAAATTCAGACACGTGAGGCTGTGCTGAAAAGAACGAGACCAAACAAGGCAAATAAATAGTTTTTAAGGGAAAATGTGGAGGAAACATCAGATTATATCCTGGACCCCAGAGGGTCAAACATTTTTTTTAAGTAACGCAATAGTTAGTTTTCAAGTAATTAATTACTTTTAGAATCTTGTAAATCATTCACTAACAGTTACTAGTTACTACTTCAAAAAAGTAACTATAATTAATTACTTTTTCAAAGTAACTTGCCCAACACTGCTGAGCATGCGCCTTGAGGCGACTGTTGGCTGGATTAGTTTCCCCGGTCTGAATGTTCGCTTAAATGGCCCTCGAGATAAAACCAGTGTTCGGTCTTCATAAACCCATCATGGTTTTTTCTTCACAGTAAAGCCTGATGCTGACCAAGTGTTTTTTGTAGTTCCTGTCATCTCTACAGAAAAAAAAAATAAATTCACATTTTAACCCAAGAATGTCATAAATTGTTCCAAACACACTTCCGAGAATGTAACTGCAGCCTGTTTTGTTGTCTTGCTCCACTTTATTTCGTCGAAATCAGAAATGTGACTACCGGGTGTCTATTCAGATATAAATGTGATTGTTTGCCAACAAATAGTTCACAGCTTCATCGTCGGAGATTAAAAAAGCGAAGCAGAGCCTGGGTGTCTGTTAGTTCTTTTTACCTTTAATAAAAAGAAAACTAAAATAAAAATCTCAACATAAAAAATACATGGCGAAACAATAGACTCTTAAATGATTATGAGAATAATCATGGTCGCAATGATGATACAGTAGAATAATAAGAAGTCACCATAATAATAATAATAATAATAATCAGAAGCATAATAATCATAGATCTATCTGTTCTGGTGTCCGTCCCACCAGCAGAAATCACTTCCTGTTTTATAGACATTATGGTAAGCATCGCACAGGGCCGGGGCGTGGCACTTGTCAAAATATTTTCACACTTAGCAAAGTTACCCCACATATGCACGACAAAATAAGGACAGAATCACAGCTCGTACGATTCACAGCACTGCTTGGAAACAAAATTTCAAACAAAGGAATTCAAATCATGCTCCGAGTCGGCTTCTTCATCTACGTCTTGTTTTAGGGTCGCAGCTGTAACGTTTGACTGAGCTAAGGAAGGAGGGTGGGAAGGAGGGAAATTTGGCAGTTTTAAAATTGAACAAAACAAAGTTCAAGTTGTGAAACCCCGACAAACAATTTTAGGGAAAAATAAATGTTAACATTCTTCTTCGTTTTCTGAAATAAAACGTCTGCAGTTCTGCGGGGTTTTCGTCCAATGAAAGTGCAGTGCTCGTGTTCATCTGAAATGTTGATCTGTACGGGGATTTGGGGCCAAAAATCATTAACAAAATAACATTAATAATAACGATAATAAAGCCTAGAATAAAAGCAACAGATTTGGAAAGCTGGCGTCTAAAACCTGAAGTCCTTCACATCGTGTCCGAGTTTGGATGGAGGAAAGAAAAGAGATCACTTAAATGGTTTGATGGTCTTGAGAGGGTAAGGCGGGATGTTGGTGAGGTGGATTTAGAACGGAAACACTGGTGCTGATTGGTTCATTTTGGCTGTCATGTTTCTCATGGCACCCTAAAGTTACTTCCTGTAAGTAAATGTGCTTTAAAAACTGTTTAAAAGCTTCCAAAATGAGCTAAGTTTCAAAAGAACGTGAAGAAGAGCAGCATGGCTGCACTTTTGACCACAAGATGAAGCAGAGAGTCAATGTGCAGCTACTTTTAAGCTGCTCCCTGTCCGTCCCACCAGCAGAAATCACTTCCTGTTTTGTAGACATTATGGCAAGCATCACACAGACCGGGTACTCGCCAAAACACCTAAATCCAAACTCTGGACCAGATTTGAAATCGAGGTCCAGCAAAGACTCACAGCACTATCGTGGTACTACACAGCACAGCCTTTAGTTTCAGTTCATTTGTCTTCAACACGACTGCCTAGTGGTCTTTTCATGCATGTTTGTTTTGATGCTTTGGTTCATTTTGGACTATTTTAAACAACTTCAGCTTCTCAAGTTTAAACATTTCCTTTGGCATCAACCTTTAAAAAATAGTTTTATGGTTTCATTTTTAGATCATTATGTTTTGTTTCTAAGAGAAAAAAAAAAGGTCACATACCGAGAATAAAGGTGTGAAAAACATTTCAAAGTGAATCAATACTGCTCATTACCAGCTCTGCATTTTTATCCTTGGTCTCTACGAGAATCTAGCAAAGCAGCTTTGCGTGATTCAAACCTCTAAATAATCCTTATCTTGTACTGAGCTCTCACTTCCACTTTAAGACAACTTTCTTCTGATTGGCTGCCTCTGGTCAGAACATGAGATGGTTTCTGTGTCCTGAGATGATCATAATAGGGACATCTGCTCTGTGTGACATCATACAGACTGTGAGTAGGAAAAACAAAAAAACTGAGCATTTGGCTGCAGGATTACGGGTCATTGACCAATTGGCTATCAGAAACTTCAACCATGTTTAATACGAACATTCACAGGAAATAAGTCAAATTTGAACAGGTCAACATTAAAGTGAGTAAGTCTGTTCACTGTCATCAGCATCTTTCAATGTGTCAAACAAAACAATAGTGGGATTTAAGTAATCTGTGTTTGATGGTCTAGAAATAACTGTGAAACTGCCAAATCCCGGACAAACCCCCAAATATTGTATCATCACAGTACAAACTAAACAACAGTAAAGGCCACAGAAATATTTGTTACCAGATTGGAAATAATTCCAGAAAAGAAAATGGTGACAACATTAATTTAAAATGTATCTTTGCAATCTACACAATAAAATAAAGAGAAGCTCTCAAGGATTAGAAATTATAAGAATATGTGGTTGTTTTATTTTATTAAAAAGTTAATATTAATTTTAAAGTTATATTTACTAAGCAAAATATTTAATGGTTTATCCCCTGAAACTAAAATGTAAGACCTGAACTTAATTAGAGAAAAATAACACCACGCAGTGTTTCTAAACTGACACATCCCAGGTTTGCCCAAACGTTTTAAACCAACAATTTTTCTTTTTAAAAAAGCTGAGTTCTTGTCAGTCACCAAGGTTCAAAGATCATCGTGTTGGCAACAGTGAAACATTAAAGGCACAGCACAGCTTCCTGTGATGACTTAACTCTGAGGTGAAGCTTCATACTAACTTCATCTGAATGCTTGTTCAAAGTGAGTTTGGACCAGTGAGTGAAGACAACAAACCAAACAACGAGCACCAGAGTTTCCCTTCAATGAGCTGACAATGGCGAGTTAAACCGGCCGCACCGAGTCTCAGACCGTTTCTATTTTAACAAGCAACAAGAGAAACAGACTTTAGCATCAGTTTTGTTGACTTTAACTGTAAATCTGGAAGTGAAATAAACAGAAACAGATCAAAGAAAGGTAAAAAACCTATCCAGTGACTCGACCTCCAAATCCAGTCCAAAGTTCAAGGAAAAAAAAAAAAAAAAAAAAAAAGATTCCAGTGTGACTAAGCTTGAGTGTTCTTTAGTTCCATCAGAGAAAACTAAAACAACCCAGGATATAAATTAAGAATCGTGACTCTCAGTGATCAGGCCTCCTGTACCATCTCAAATTTATATGCTTTGTTTTTAGCTTCAATTTGTTCGCTGTCACATTGTTGCAATTACACGTCTTCATTCTCTTAACCAACAACAGTATTCAGACAAGTACCAGCTTACTGTTGAGCTTTAACAGGATTAAACCAAAATAAAGAGTTAAATTAGCTCCACTTACGGAGAGGGTGGATAAAGTTTTGGTTGTCGTCTTTTCATGTAATTTCTTAAAAAGCAGGATTGCAAAATGATCTCTGGGATCTGAATGAAGTGTCCGCACTGGAATGTTTTTTTTTAATAATTAAAAAAAGCCGACAGAACATGGCGAACGTTTCTGAACATGGACGACAGTTGGAGCAGGAGGAGAGCGGATGCTGGTGAAATCGAACTTCAGTCGCTTGTAAGACTTCTCTGAGTGTGTGTGTTTGTGTGCACATGTATTTCCTCTCGCTGCAGCCACCGCGAGAAAAACTATCTACAGGATTTACTCGAAGGAAAGCGGCGATCACCACCGAACAATTTTTTTTCCAAATATATATTCTGCTTGTACAGGACGGTGATCGTCGGGAAACATTCAAAAACAAAGCGGACGAACGCTGCTGATTCTTTAGCTTCCTGCTTTCTATCTCAAAGCCCCGCCCACGACAAGCAGCAGAGGTTCCCATCCACAGTGCCAACATCTGTCCTGCAGCTGCTTAACATTTAGAATTTCTAGCAAAAAAGAGAAACAAGAGACAACAGATGGAGAAGACGGCGGAAAAATGGCGGAGGTGGCATGACGAATGGCTGAAGCAAGAGAGGAAGAACACCACCAAGCCCCTCCGAGGCCTCCGTCCAAATATACCCTCATCCATCCCTGGGGAATGTGAACAGTGTGTGAGTGTGTGTGTGTGTTGTGGTTTTGAAGCGAGCATATGAAGGGGTTGGCGAGCTCCTAGCAGTCCTCGTCCTTGTCGTCCACAACACCTTTGAGCCGGAGGCGGGCGAAGTCCTCGAAGACGAAGTCGTCGTCCTGCGAGATGCTGCTTGAAGGATGAAAAGGACGAGTTTTATTGTGAAAGGTTCCATACAGCCCTGTTTGAATCCAGCACCAACAGCACGTCACATGTGTGAACTGAGCATCTGTGAAGTTTTCCACCTCGCGCCGGGTTTGTGAATCTGCCGCTGCTGCAAACGGCTGCAGATGTTTCTGCTGTCATTTCCTGAAACAGACGGTAGCTCCTAACCCTTCAGCATTAATGATGCGCTCACAGATTCAAGATCCACTCGTCACGTCTCGCAGCTCTCACAGGAGAAACCGTTCACGTCCATGGATTCATTTTACAGACGTTTTTTGTTTCCTTAGGATTTTTAAACTTTCGGGTATTGAACACCGACAGCTGCTCCTTGTAAGGGTCAGTCAGTTCCACGTTATGGCGTGCTGTAGTTCACACATGCTCAGTTTAATCAGTGACGTTATGTTAGTGCTGGTTGCCATGGTTTCTGTTTGTATGTAAAATAAAACTCAGCAGAAGTCTGGAAACTCACTTTGTTTCAAACTCTATCAAATTGGTGTCGATGGGCGGGTCAGTTTCTGGCACAGCTGAAACACACACACAAGCATGTCACGCTGCTGTTTCCATGGAAACTGATGCTCAGTGCCATGGTGAATCCGCATACGAGGATTCACCATACGAGGCTGCAGAGACTCACCTGACTGCGGGCGGGACGCCGGCGGCTCCGGAGGTTTAGGATGCATTAAGATGAAGGGCAGCTCCACCGACACGTCCCTGGAAAATAGGAAGCACGGCGTCATTGCAGCAAACCCCGCCTCCTTCCTTTTTCCAACAGGTTAAAAATGTCCTGATAAATCTGCCCGTTAAAGCCCCACAGCTGATAATTAACTCACTTCAGAGCAAACTGACTACTGAGTGACAACAACCACCTAGAAACCCATGTTAACATTAAACACCAGGCTGTGGTTCCCCCACATGAACACTGAGGCTTTCAGTCCCATTTACCTCTCCAATAAGCCTCGCAGCAGCCTGCAGGGAGGGGGGAGGGCACACAGAAGAGGAGGGGGGAGAGGGGGACGGGGCGGAGCCACACAAAACGCCAAAAAACACAGAGAAGGGAGGTGAAATGAAAAGCAGGAGGCGACAGGTTCACAAAAACCTACAGTGGAAGCAAACACAGTGAGGAGCAACGACAGCAACGAGCCAACAGGGTGGAGCAGGAAGCAGGAAGTGGAGGCCGAGCTGCACCTGCAGCTCTTTCTGAATAAAACACCCGAAAAATGAGAAAATCGTCTTTAAACCAACCGTGAAAAAAAATGAAGAGCTGCTCAATTTAGCACCACCTCCAGCCGCCCTCAGTAAATATCACAAGTCATGTGACTTTAAAGTCCAATGGCGAGACAGACGGTAGATAAAGGACTACGGTCCTAGACAGATGCTGAGGACTCATTAAACTCTCACAGGCTTTTATTGTGAAAGGATGACTTTGTAAAGCCTCCCTCAGCTGACTGGAGTCTGAGCTCAAGCTCTGGCCGTGTTTAAGCTTCAAACTGATTCACGTGGTTTTTGTACGTCTTTAAGTCAAATATGATCCCGGGACTCGCTTCACACGTGTGGCGTTTCCATGTAAACGTGGACAAACGCCAGACCGTTGCGTAGGAAACGTTCAGGTGCAGCTCGGCCTCAGGCGTTTCACTGAGTGACGTCTGGAAGATAAAAACACCTCCAAACTTCACTGATGACAGCTACAGGAAACAGTGAGCTGGAGAGGACAGGAAGTGATGTCAGCAGAGTGGGTGTGTGTGTGTTGCTGTACCCTCCACGGGACACCACCAGCTTGACTTTGACTCTGTAGGACACCAGGATCCCCAGGACCTCCTTGTTGGTGACGTCCTTCACACTGAAACACACACGGAGCACTGTGGTCACATGACCATGCAAACACACACCTGTGTGTTACACCTGTGTGTGTTTGTGTTTTACATGGTGGATGAGGCCAGGTTGGTGTCTTCATGTTTGAGCTTCCCGTCCAGAGCGAGTCCTCTCTTCTCTCTGTTCTTGTCCAGTGTCGGGGTCAGAGTGTACACCTTGCAGAAGGTGGAGCTGGACGACACCTGGTCGCTGTGGAGACCAGACGCTGCTGTCAGGCAAACCGTTCAGGTAAACCCCGCCCCTCCACCAATCTCATTAAACAGGTGTGAACATCAATGACCTTTTGTCACTGGTTTTAAACCAGCTCAGATTGGTTAGCCTGGTTAACTCTATCACATTTTCATTCATTAACATTGGTTTAAACCAGTTACACCAGCATGCAGGGACAGGGACACTTACTCTGCCTCCAGCTGAGCCACGGGACATTTATACTGGGCAGTGCTGAACAGGCAGATGTCTGCGTACTGACGCACTGCGGAAGACAAACAGAGGAGGTGTGACTGTGATAACAGGACGGCGTGCAGAGAAGCGCAGAAAAAGAGTTGAGAGATGCGTACCGGAGATCTTCACCCTCTTGACGGTCTTGGTGGAGTTGTTGGTGACGTGGACGTTGACGCTGATGGGCTCGCCGTGATAATACAGCTACACACAGAACACCATTATTAGCATAAAAACAAAGGACTGGTTTGTGGGTATCGGGGCTGTTTGCGCACCTCTTTGTCCAGAGATGCCTCCAGGTGCAGGGACCTGTCGGACATCAGGAAGCTGCGGGTGGTCTCCACCATCGGCTGAGGACCAGGCTTCTCCGGAGCGTACTGAACCTTCCTGATCACCAGACGCACCGAGTTCCTGCACACAGCACAGGCTTCAGCACGGTGATTCCTCTAGCGTTCACTGGAGGCTGGCTCACAGTATGACACACAGAAGAGCCTCTCTTGTCCTAAAGTAAACACTGAGTCTGACATTTTACTGCCTCTGGTAGATTACTGTACTGTGAGTCTACAAAATAAAAGCCCCGCACAGAGCCTGCTGGGGTACAGGCTGGCTTTGGACTGCAATGAAACACAGCAAAAGCTTTAAAGTGGACCTTTTATTTCCTGTTCCACTGGTGGGTGTTCATGTTTACACGACCAAAGTTAATCCCCACTCAGTTATTTCTACTCTGGGTTTGAACTCCACGCAGCTCCTGAGTGAAGCTTCCCGCAGGTCTGAACTCACCTCTTGTGAATCTTCTCTTCCATTGACTTGGCACAGAAAGCTCTGATCTCAAAGTCAACACCACAGGCCTGCAGGAAGAGGAGAGAGGACAGCTCAGCGCCACAGTGTTTATAAAAACGCCTCAACTGTGCTGACGCGCTGCGAGCGCAGCCCTGCTTTTTCCCGTTTTATAAACACACCGTCTCTCTCTCTCCGCTATGAGCGACGCTGGAACAGCTTCAGCTAAAAATCAACGGCGTGTTTATCGGCCTGTCTGAGGCGGTCGTTACGGTAAATCGTAGCCTGTCAGCGACGCTCCTCACAGATAACCGACTCATCTGACTCCCCGTTTAAAACCAAACATGTCAACGCTGGAAGAAGCTCCTGAACGTCAGGCTGTTAATCAGGAATAAAATAGGTTTCAGGAGCCAAAATGTGTGAGAAAGAAAAGGTCTGCACGTGTTCAGGCCTGAAGGACACGCTGCACATCAGAATGCTGCATTTGCAGAAAGAAAAAAGGCAGTGATGGGAACTGTTCCCTCACTGACAGGAAACAAGTTGTTTAGTTGACCGAGCGCTCAGATCCACTGCTCCGCTGCTTCAGGGCCTGATCGGGGAAACATCAGCCGACGCAGAAAATCAACAACTAAAAGCCAGGAAGTCTGCAGACGCACGCAAACTCGGCGACGCTTCAGAGTCGAACACGCAGCTGCAGGACAGAGGAGGGTTTGAATATTCATCTTTGTACAAGCTGAAGTAACCTGAGCGGAGGAGAGCTCAGCCTCACACCTGTCTCACATTCAGGTTCTTAATCTCACGACAGTAAAAGGCTGCATCATCATCTCGTGCTGCAGGTGGCTCCACCTGTCAGCTGCAAAGGTTATGCTGCTGTTATAATAATAAGACACATTATCATCATTATCATTATTATTATTATGGATGTGTGCAACTGGTGGACCAATCACCGCTGTTGTCACTAGTTGTTTAATCTAACTGTTAAAAGTTTCATTGATCCCTGGTGCTGGTAAATTATTGTGTCCTAAATGTTATGCAGTCATCTGCCACCAGATGGCGCTTCATGAATCCTTTCATGTTAGCTTTTGTGAACTCTATTAGAATGAGAGGACAAATCCCAGCAGCAGAAATGAGCTTTCTCCAGAAGGTGGACGGGCTGTGAGTGGAGCTGCTACTCTTGCACATCAACAGCAGCCAGCTAAGGCTGTCGCCTGGGTCACGTGTTCCCACTGGGCATGTCCTACTGGGAGGAGGCTCGGCGTAGACCTGGGCACGCTGGCCTGGAACACCTCGACGTTTCCTCGGATAAGCTGGAGGAAGTGGAGGGAGGAAGGTCTGGGCTTTCCCACTTCAGAAGAAGTAGAAGAAGCAGAAGAAGAAAAAAAATGTCGGGACGATTTATGATTTTGATAAATGCCGAACAGCGTGGACCACTCAATGCACTGTTCTCCCTCAGCTGTGACTTAAAATCTGAGTGTTTTAGTTTCAGACTAGTTGGTTAGTCTGATTGTTTTTTCCTCGTTTCGCAAATAAGAATTGAGTTGCCAGGTTTTATAATTCAGTTTAAATTCCATCAAGTCTTTAAAGGAACCTGATCTAATAAACCAGACTGTGGGGTTTAAATCTGACTGCTGTTAAACGTCTTTAAAATCTATTTAAACCTCCTCTGAACGTGACGTTGGACATCCACCCGTCTGCTGACCTGCTGTGGAGGAACCAGATGGGTGCAGCAGTTACTGGTTGTGCCGATGTAGCGTACTGGGACGTGCGTGGCTCTGCTCCGACCCTGTGGGCGTGAGCATTGTCCTGCTGAAACAGCTGCAGGGTGGGGCGCTGAATGCAACGTGAACAGGGCGGAGACCCTCCGTCAGACTTCCACAGAGAACAATCAGATCAGAGATGGTGCTCCAGCTCTGAGATCATTTACTGGACCTGAAAACTTCTCGTCCTTCAGTTTCAGACTGAACTCATCGTTAAAGCATCGAGTTAACGATCAGAAGCAGGAGGCGGTGCTTTCAGCTGCTCCCTGAACTCGCAGCGGTCGCCACAGCGGATGAATGGCACAGATTTTCCACCGGATGCCCTTCCTGACGTAACCCTCACATTTACTATGTGACCCCCTGAGGCCGGCCTGTAAATCCCCTCGGGCAGGCGGGTTTGGGTGGACCCAGACAGAGATTTATATTTCAAACTGAGGCGTGACGTTTGGGAACAGCTAATTTACGACATCCGTGCTCTGCCGTTTCACAGCTGGGGGGGTTCGGTTACCTTGCCGGTGTCCTCGGGTCCGGGCTGTAGAGTGACTGAACAGGGGAGATTCTGAGGAATCTGGAAAACAAGAAGAAGAACGAGAACGTCAGAATCACAGTTTGTTCATTCGTTGTTTCCACACCACAAACTCAGAGCCCGTTTTTATGAAGCTTCCCACAGAGCGCCGACCTTTAAACTCCCAGCAGCCCTGGCTCAGCTCGACTCTCGTAAAGAATCCGAGGCTCCCATAAAGCTCAGATATTTTCTCAGACGTGCTTTATCGAGTAAAATAATCTGTGCACATTAAGAGTAAACGCCACAGTTTGAGAGCTGCAGGACGTCCTCCCTCATAAATGCCCTGCTGAGGAGGTGTGATGACCCCTTTCAACCAAAAAGTTCCAGGAAGGTAAAAAAGTGCAATTAAATTTCCACCGTATGTGAAGGAGGAGGAAGCCAGAACAAATGAGTGTAATGAGCGACTTCCTGAGTTCCTCAAAGGGTTCTTGATCTTACAGGGAACTGCGCTCCGATGGAAACGCCCTTCAGTGTGTCACTTCTAGTCTAACAGGAAGTCAAAGTCTTCCTCATTTGCATCTCCTTGTTTATTTCAGGAAGCTGGCGATCAGCAAACATCACGAGACACGTCTGACGCTCGTCCTGATATTGACGCCGGGCTGAAGCAGCCCGAGGAAAGAGCCGACAGACGAGGTCAGCGGGCTATAAATGATCTGCTTTTTCAGGCCACAGCAGACGGCGTTCAGACACTAATGGATGCTGGGTAAACACAGGCTAATGAACTGATGGCAAAGATCAATATGCTCATCTTTAAATGTTTACATCGAGGCCCTGAGCTCCCACCTGGTTAAACAGCTCCATTCTTCTTCTTACATATTTTATACATCTTGCACACGTGCGGTGCAGAAAGGTTCGATAGTGCGCCGTGCAGCTGCAGTTCCTCTAATCACCAGCAGGGGCTCCAGCAGTGAGTCAGTGCCCACAGACTCACATGGAGCGCATTTCACTTCAAACACCATATAAAGACGTGGCGTCTTCACCACGAGCTCCACACACGGAGCCCTGAGGAGGAGCAGTGACTCACGGTGAAGTAGAAGGGGTGTGCGTGCTGGCCGAGCTTCTTCAGCAGCCTCTCCTGCAGCCGGCTGTTGGGTTTCCGCTCCTCGGGCACCGGAGGGAAGGCCTGACGCCGAGAGAGAGACGACAGTGAGAACGTCCGACCTTTAAAAGTACTCAACTGTCTGCTCAGGCGCAGGCTGATGAAGCTCACCTGGAAGGTGGAGATGTACAGATCCTTCCGGAAGGATAGACCGAGCACGTCCAGGTCCTCGCGTCCATATCGAAACGCACAGGTCAGCGTGACGAAGACTGTGGGGAGGAAGAAGAGGCTGTTTGCAGTTTAAATGAGTCATTCATTAAAATCAGGTTTAATTCAACAATAAAACATTAAAACTGTTAAAAATCATCGACACAGCAAAACAGCGTCGTTACAGAAGAGGTGAAGTGGACCTTTGCTGCTCTGCATGAGCCACACTTCAAAATAACCTTACAGCTCATGCCGAACATGACAGAGATGAAGCTCCTCCCCCTTTGAGGCATCATGCTTTTGATTGGCTGCCCTTTGCAACTGAACAACAGGACTTCTGACATCTCACTGTGACATCACGCAGGTCCACGAGTGTAAGAGACTGTGATAAACTGGTTGTTTAGAGCTCACAGCGATTATCTGCACAGCACAAACTGCCAGCAGTGGAAAAGCAGACGCAGGATAAGAGCTGAGCTGCGTTCTGGGTTTTGTTGGGTGATGTTTGTGTAGCAACATTAAAAACAACGTTCAGGCAAACAGTAATTTACCTGTTTTTCCAACTATTGACACACAGTCAGAGGTCCAGAAACTGCTTATTATGTAAACAAAGGTCATTCTGCCTGTTTTGTATTCAACGTTTCTGAAACAGTTGTTTAACAGTAAACAGACAAAAATGAGACGTTTGTGTCCTTAATAAATGAACGTGCTGAGAAATAAACAGGAAGTCGTTAATCAAAGGCTTCAGCTCTGCACAGAAAGGTCAGCAGGAAGTTGATGAAACAACACGAGCGCAAGGCTTTTACTCTCGTTTATTTACACACGGCAACAAGTCAAAGTCGCTGCACAGTTGGCTTCAGCACACTCTGCCACATGATTGGCTGATGAGACATTTGCTTTATAGACTTAACGTTTAGATCTTGCAGTGAAGTCTCAGTGTGTTCCTGTACATGTGTGCAGGTGTTCTCGCCTACCTTTCCTGTCCTTCAGGTACTCTGGGTCGACCAGGATCACGCCATCTGTTGGCAGGAAGGAAGACAAACAGTCACGAAGGTCACCGGTTTACCTGATCAGGATCTCTGACTCCTGTAAATACAGGACTGCACCACAGCAGCCGTGCTCCCTGAAAACTCCAAAACAAACACAAACGAGTCCAGACTCACCGACTGGGTCCACGTGGTCCAGGTGGTCCACAAAGTCTCGCTTTCCCAAGTAAACCGTCAACTGCACAGACCAATCACAGGATTAGTTTATTTAATCCAGATGTGTGATCACAACAGCTCAGTGAAAACTGGATAAATCCTACTGGAATAACTTTGACCTCTTCCTGGTCCCCACACAAAGATCACCAGCTCTGTGCACACGTTTGCAGACGATGTGCTGTTAATAACTTATTTATAAACTGCTGCTCTCTGTATTGTTTCCAAGTACAACAATGGAAGGTTTTTGGTTTGGAGTACAAAGGCGGTCACTGGCTACAGCATCCAACCTTCCAGAGAGCTGCTGCAGGACGTTGTAAAAACACCTCACACAGGTGGAGACCAGTGTCAGGTTAACTTCCAGGTTATTTCTCGACCAACCTGGAAGTTAGCGACCCCTAAGCCAGAAGTCCGGGAGAAGGGACGCTCTCTAATCGAAGTCCTAAAAGAACAGAATCTGCTAACAGCATGCAGCGTGTGAGCTCATGTTAAACTTCCCCATCGACAGGAAGTTTAAAAAAGAAAAATGTAACTATATCAAAGGAGTAAAGCAGGATCTGCCCGAGTGTTTAACCACACTGAACCACAACCTTCTGACAGGGAGTGAATTTAGAGGCAACAGTAAAGGAACGACTGCATAACACTGAATATTAATCTTTATCTCGACTCTCTTCTTAACAAATGTTTAAACTAAAACTGGATGAACTGGTCACACTGGTGACGTCCCAGTTTACTACCTGACTTCACTGTGGAGCTGCTCTGCCTGCTTCATCTTTGTCACATAATGAGTGCTTTGCGTCGCTCCCTTTGGCAGCTCGTTTTTCTGCCCTTACGTCTGTATATCTGCTTTTAATCGCCCTGATTCTATGATTGTGGTTTTTACTCTGGTGTTTGAGTGAAATGCTGCGATCTGAAGGGTCAGTATGAACAAAGCTTCATGTTTTAGGTGGCAGAGGGAGAAGAGTGCTTTCTACTGCTTCCTCACAGTGTCAGATGTTGCAGAACAAACTCGTGGACTCACCTTACAGTTGGGGCTCGACTTCTTGAAAACTCTGAGAGGTTTGGGAAGAGGAGACAGAGAGGAGGAAAGAAAGAGAAGGTTAGCTCGTTTTTTCTGGCTGAACCCTGTCGCTAAACGAAGAGCGCTGCGGTCGATTCAAACAGGTTTTCAGACCCGCTGCAGCTCATCGAGAGCGTGTGGGTGAGACAATTCTGTGAAAAATAACCCGAGGAAGTGTGGCAGCTTCCTGCTGTGTCGAAATAAACAGTGGCCTTGTTTGAAACCGATGGTTGGGGGTGGGGGGGAAGTGGTTTTGATGAAAAACAGTGTACATGACCTAGGGTTATTATGGGATGTCACCGCACTGCTTTAAGAGGGAAACAGGTGGATGTTAACCAACACGATCACTTAAACTACTCGAGTCCAAGTCTGCGCGATGCCACTGAAACTTTTACAAACCTTTGAACCACCAGAAACACGCCGCAGGATCTCAACAATCATTACAAGAACAGCTGAACACACCGACACCAGGACTGAGTCTAGACCTGAGCCGCAGCTGAAAGAGCGAGGCTTTAGCGTGGCTGCAGTTTCACTGCCAAAACACAAGGTGGCAGCGGACTGCCCATTTCCTAACTGATATTAAAAAGTGGTGGAAGAGAGAAGAGAAGCATCGAAGAAAAACTAATCTCCCAAAACCGGTCCCAGGCGCAGCTTGGACCCACGATCTTGATGTCAATAAACCAAAGTAAACTTCGGCCCCTCTTCGATCAGCGCCGCCCCGGGTCCAGCACTACTGGGTGTGTCTGGTTGTCGTCACAGCTTTGCCGGGTTTCAAAGATGGCGGTTTTGATTTTGGTGAACCTGATGCTCACTGAGTGATGCTACTTGCCAGGCATGCAGTCTGGTGACATCACATTTTACCACCTGCTCAGATCGCTAAAAAAGTAGCTGGTACTATGACCTAATGGAAAACCCTGAAAGGTGTGGCGAACCGCGGCTTTTCTGACAATAACCTGCAGAGAGAGCACAGATGGACTAAACCTTCAGTTTGTGACCGCGGTCTTCGTTCTGCTCTGCAAACACAAACCGCAGCAGGACCAAAGTTTAACCTCGGACAATGACGGAAGTGCCAAAAGCATCCTGCTCACAGTGATGAAGCTCCACCCACTCTGGTGTCCTCCCACAGTGCAAACCAGAAATGCCACATCCCGTGTGTTACGCTGCTTTTCACGCTGCTGAATTTTATCAGTCAGCTGGAAAAGGACGCCGCTGCAGTTCCTTTAATGTCCACTTGAGGCTTCAGAACTCAGTCAGACCCCGCAAGGTCTTAAAATCTCTAACTTTTCATTTTCTTCATCATAACAACTGCAGCTAAATGTTTTTAGAACTCATCAATTTGAACTGCATCCAGTTTGGAAATTAGGGGCGTGGCCTCTGTGGCTGACAGCAGATGGCCGTTTGGAGTCTTTTCAGTCAAGTGATGTGATGAAAAACCACCACAGGTGCCAACACACCTTGAAAAGCTGAACTCATTTTAAGGCCTGAAAACCAAACATGCCCACAGTTCAGCAGCTGTGTGAGGAAGCACCGAGGCTCTCAGCATCTGTATGAAGCCGTCACTTCCTCCAGGCCCTCGCCGCCTCAGACATCATCCTCTGCCAGGACGAGGCGCTGCTGTCCTGCTTCACAGCAGCTCCTGCTTCCTGTCACAGCCGCTGATGCTTTCCACACTCGGGTTAAATTTAGATCACTTCAAAGCATGAATTAAAACTGATTTACAGGTTTCTGCGGCTCCGATTTTTGGCGCTCGAGGCTTATTTACGACTGTGGTGTTTTTTAATCTGCAGCTTTGAATCCAGAAAGAACAAAAACACGTCGTAATGAGCTGCAGATATGAACCGCACGCACAGCTCAGCTCCACGCCTCTTCAGGCCACGCCGTTCCAGATCTGATTCCCAATTAGGGCCGATAACAGCAATCGTTTTCTTTATCGATTACCCTCAAACACCACAGCAGAGGATGGTCACAGCTTCTCGAAGCCAGAGGCGACTGATGTCAGACTAATAATCCAGAAACTGTTTTATTTAACAGAGTTGAAGAAAGCGTTTAAAATGTTAGCATATATGAATAAATTAGAGTCACTGTGGTCATTTTGCTCATTCATGCACAGAAAGTTACCCCAGGTCAGAGACATCAGCTGTTTCTGCTTTTATTTTCACTTACTGACATTTTACAAGAGCGAGATTCACTAATTGAGACTGTTTACTAATCGTAGCCTAAACCTGGTGCATTTCTTTCTCCTGGTATTTACACAAACCTGCTGAAAACAAAGCTCGACTGCTCAGAACAAAACGCTCCAAGTGACTTTTTAGGCCAGAATCAACTAATTATTCTACACTTCAAACAGGAAACAGGTGGAACCAAGGCAGGCGCCGCGGTGCAGCGGTTCACACGTCCACCTGTGTCGGCACCTCTGCACATCCAGCCCAAAGAAATCTCATTTAATTTTCAGGAACGATGACTCGACGAGACGCAAACGCTGCAAAGGAGGAAGGGGGCAGACATGGCAGGGTGTGAGGACTATAATGGGCCTGCGTCCGCTCACGTGTTTCCTGCTCCCGTTGGTGAATGTTGGTGGCCACAGTCCCCAATAATGAGGTCAGTGTGTAGAAGTGGTCCCAGGAAAGCACAACAAAAAAAAGACTCAAGTGTGTGTTTGTTGCTGCTGCACACACGACTGTTTAAAGACACGGATGGTGTTTGGACTGCTGACGAGTCTAAATTGTCACTTCTGCCCATATTCGTCTGCTGCTTCTTACTAATAAAGTTATTTGGTTCAGTGAGGCTTCAGATATGAAATAAATGAATACATTTTGTTTCCTTTCAGGAGCATTTTTGTGACTTCACCGTCAGAAAACAAACTAAAAGCAGGAGGAACAAGCTGGAGCTAAGTGGGTCACCCTCCATCCCAATTATCTGAGAGCACGTTTTCCAAACTTTGTGCCAATACCAGTTATCAGCACCTTGCAGAGAGGCCCACAGGGCTGCCAGATCACACCACAATGATGGCAGCAGCCTGCCAGCGCCTCTCAAACCATTACAAATCACAGCAGCACGGCTGGAGCTCATCGACTTATTTTAGCTGCTGCTAATTTCAGCTCGCTGCCTTTACCTTTAATTCCACCTTAAACTCTGAGTTTGTGTGTCAGCTGAACCACACAGTGGACCTCTGGGACCACGGCTCCTTTTAGCGTCATGGCCGCTCATTGCTCGCCCATCAGCTGGTTACTGCGGGCTGCTGTAAGAATTGGATAACTTGTAAGACCCTGCATCATTCTTTCTTCTAATTGGTCAGCTTCTGGAAGCCTGCTGAGGAGCAGACGGTGGGCTTGTGGTTTGAGTGTGTTATGGACCAGTATTTTAACTCTGAGCTCTGCAGGCAGAGAAACTAGGAGGAGAAACTCGCTCGAGTCCTCGCAGGATGAAGTCGTAAACGTCCCTGTGAGCTGCTAACCTTAACGAACAGCAGGCCTGCTTTGTTCTCGACTCCAACGTTAAATCTGAGGTGATGAAGGGCCCTGCTGCGCAGATATAAACACGCCTCGTCCTGAAATGCTTCCTGGACTGACGAAGTTACAGCGACAGTGTTTGTGTCCAGGCTGAGCAGAAACACTCGTCCATCATGGAGTCCAGCTGTAGTGCTTCAGCTGAGCGTCGCTGCAGCTCCTGCGATTCATTCAGCGATCGCTGCATTTTTATTCTGTGGTCTTTATAATTTAGGCACCTTCATATTATTTTTATTATTTTTGCAGTCAGTGGGTAGAAATGGTTACATTCTGGAGGACATGTTGGTTTCATGTTAAACTGCTGGTTCTTATTGTGGCTGAACGAGGTAAAGGGAACCTCTGTGGCTCGTTTCCACGTTTTTATTCTGGGACTGCACCAGAGCAGTTTTACATGAGTCACAGTTCAGAAATAATCCTTCCTCTTTACTCTGAGCCTGCTGCAGTCCCTTTAGTTCACCCTCCAACAAGCTTTCATCTGACTGGTTAACTTCTGGAAGTCAGCTGAGGGGCAAACAACCCCCTTCATCCTGGCTCCAAGCATAAACAGATGCTTTGGACAGTGGGTGGGGCTTCTGTGCTTCTCTGTGACTTCATACAGATCCCAGAGTAGAAAAAAAAACAAGCGGTGTTTAGCGTGCTGCAGACACCGAGCTCATGTTTAATATGAACAGGAAATTTAAAAACAGCTCACTTTTGGTGTGATTAATAAACCAGGAGGATGACGCACTAATGAGTAGGTTAAAATGAATACATGCAGATGTTTCAGCAAAGCTTCAAACCCATCAGTGAGACTTAGTGTGGCCCCAAAACTCAAATATTCTCATTTGTATTTGTGTCAGAAACAGAGAGAAGCAGCAGCGGATGATACGACCACGTGAGGCTGAAGCTGGCGTCGAGGGAAAGAGATCCCGTAAACAGGAGAGCGTCACAGCGAGCGCTTCCACCTGCAGGGGGGAGGTCTGCAGGGACGGCGCTCGCTCAGACAAACAGCTGACGTGAAGCTTCATGTCTGAACATGAACTGTTGCCATGTGACAACGGGATCGTGTTACCCAGCTGCTGGTGTTAAAAACATTTCAGATGATTTGAAGAGTCTGAGTGCAGATTTTCTCTTCTTAATTGTTTGTAACCAGAGAACACTCGGAGCTTCAGCTGCTGAAACGGGAGAGCGATGGGCTTAGAACGGCTCCATGCACCAATCTGAGAGCTGGGAGTCTGCAGCCATAAACCCTACATCTTCATCTGATGATCTGCAGCATGGTGCAGCATCATGCTGGAGAAGGCTCAGCATCACCAGAGAGCTCCTGGGAGGGGAAAGGACTGCAAACCAAAATTGAGCAGCTTTAAAAAGCTCCAAACGACACAAATTCAAATTCATGCTCCATGAATGACTGTTTTTTAAATCACGAGCGTGACCACAGCCGCTGCAGTACCTGTACAAGCAGGTGGAGGACAGGAAGCAGGTCGGACCGCAACACGAGGAAACCAGGTTTCCTCTCGGTCACAGTTCAGTGAGCGGCGGCGTCTCGTGCTGTTTATTAGCCAAACACTCAGAGCGGCAGGAGCGTGATGCTCGCTGCGTTTCACACTCTGACAAAACTTCCTCATGTTTGCCGGACGCCACCGTCGCTGCACTTCCTCTGCAGCGCCTGCCGCCCACAGACACTCGCGTTTCAGGGCCGCCTGCCTTCACATGCATGCCAGCCTCAGTTACACCTTCCTCTGGATTTACACCCAACAAACACAGTTTAGTGGCAGCAGAAATAATCCCAGGAACAAAGCGCACGAGCAGGCTCTTATTGTGGCAGTTCAGCCCGCCCTTCCTGTCAGGCCGATGCCTTCAGCTGAGTCTGTAACGATGAAGCTGCAGATAAGCAGGACTCAGACTGGTCTGACCACCGGAGCAACGAAACAGGGTGAAAGTTAAATTTTAAACTCTGCAGCTGAGCGAGGAACCAGGAAGTTATTCTGCAAGACTCAAACTAGACGTTCATCTCCAGGCTGTTTTCTTCCTCTTTCAAACTGCTGATTCAGATTAAATGACTAAACTGTGGGCGGTTTTGCAACTGTTTTCATTAGTAATCAGCCAATTAGTCGAACAACTGCTCCTAGAAAAACTAAAATTAGTGCAGAATGAGGGGAGAAAAGTGATGAAAGGGAGGGATTTCTGCGGCTGGTATTAAACTACAGACCTGTAACTGAGCTTCAGACACAAACGCCAACACAACAAACCGTCTGTGTCATTTTCTGAGAGTCAGATTTGACGTTTTTGTCAAAAAATATTCAACAATAAAGTGAATATCTGAGCTTTGTGTTGAGGATTATTTTCCTTTAAATGTCCTGATCCAGCATCAGTTGCTCCTGTTACACCAGCAGGAAAAAGTACTGCAGTATCTGCTGTTTCCATCCCCTCAGCGCTCAATCAGCTCTGCAGCTAACAGTTATTTTTATCACCAAATTCACGTTTATGTGACATAAGAATCATTTTATTGTTTATAAAATGAATTAAAAATGTATAATTTGGACACTTTATGGAGCCACTAAGGCCTGAAACAGTCACAGCTTATTTTTCTTCATTGCTTCTAAAAAAAACACAAAACTTCTATTCTGATTAATCTGAAATCGATCAGCGTCGCTCCAATGTTGGAGCTTCAGGCCGCAGGAAGTCCCTCAAAATGAATAAATAAATATTGCAATTATGTCTCCCATTAAATATTTACGCCTGGAGAACGAAGCGGAGCTTTAAAAAGCCACATGGGATGTAAGCATTAAAGCTATTCTTCATTTCCTGATATTTCTGATCAGCTTTTATCATTGGCAGGTCAAAAATGGACTTTTTGCGGCTTTTTGGTCCTTTTTAACATTTACCCTGAAAAAACCCGACGTTAGAAACATTCGTGTATTTAGCGGCGCTCTGAACGAACCAACTTTGAGGTCACATGTTAAAGCTTCATACAGGCCATCGAGTCGGACTCTTCCTCTGCCTTTGAGCACAGTCTGACGCCCTGAGTAAGAAACCTGCGGTCGTGTATATATTAGTTGGTTTTGAATTCGATTTCTGGGCGTGTGAACATCTCCAGCCGATGTACGACATTTCACACCTGGTCGGTGTTTCGTACGTTTGTACAAATTAAAAGCAGGATGAAGAACAGGAAGTGCATCACTGTTTGTTTCCAGCTAAAAATAACACAACCAGTTTTGTTTTTTTTCAAAAAGAAATGATTTGCTTGCATTTGCATGCAGAGCAAATACACACTGCTACTTTCATCTGTGTCTGCAGCATGAAGAGGGTCAGGCCTGGGTCAGCCATTTTTGATAGTAATAAAAACAACAACCAGACATGAATAATAATAATTAGACGTTTGAGCTGTGACAATAATTCCAGACATCTAAACTTCACGTTGAGCACAAAAACAGCTGCAGCTTTGAGAGCACGCCAACCTGTTTACACGAAAAATGTGGCAACAAGGGACAAAGTCAGCACCAGACTCCTCTTACAAAACCAGCGACTCTTACATGAAAACAGGGTCGAGTTTATGCAACGCACCATTTCCGATATGACTAAATACATTAGGAACACCAAAGTCATGCAGCAGCAAGAACTAAGCAGCTGAGCGAGCTGTAAACAAGCAGCTCACGTGTTTTGTGACATAAAATTGCTGTTTTTGTGAATGAGTCTGGTAAAGCGTGACGGCTTCACGTCCTTGACACAGGTGTTGAAGATGATCTCAATACAACAGCCAATTAAAACGGATTCTTTTAGCTGTGCAACACCTGACACGGTAAACAACTGGAAGCAAAGCGTGAAATAACAGTTTTCCTGAGCCGTGGCCTCTGAAGGAGAGGCCTTTTTGTCTTTAATGTAACACACAGACAAAATATCAGGATGTGATTGGTTCTAGCTGGGCTCGTCGCTACACCTCGCAGCCACACTTACTAATCTAGTCGTACAAGACTCGAGGAGAGAAGCTTCACAGCTGTCAGTACAAAAGGTGAAAGGTCAAAGAGAAAAACTTTCCACTGCTGGCTGGTGTTTTGCAAACAGGCGAAGTGCCACAGAGCCACTCGACATGCAGCTTCGATGTATAATCTGTTAACAGCAGCTCGAGCGTGAATGTCAGTGAGAGCCATTTCTTCAACAGCTATGACGTTGGTCTTTCCTCCTGCCCGTTTCCTCTCCTCCCAGTTTTCCACCTGCTTCCTAACAGGAAGTAACTGGCAGGAAAGAAAGTTAAGTTGCAAGTGGAATGGGCTGGGCTGACTCGCCCCCCCCCCCGTTAGAGGAAAATCCATCAAAAACAGCGGCGATGATCAGCATTTTATAGCAAAAAGCTGCTACACATGAGGAAACGGATCGTGTGCATGAAAGCTGTACATCCAACAAACCTTGACCTCACAGAGGAGAAACAGGCAGGATGTGGATGTAAACAGCCTGAAGCAGTCAGCACTTTAATGTCATTTTCAGCAGCTTACATGTGCTGGAGTAAAGGAAAGAGCTGAACCTGACTTTAAAGGCCCTGTATTCCTGCCACATTACAACAGGACGGGGTCTGATGAGCTGCACAAAAACATAACAGTTATTCCTCATCATTAGTCTTATTTTTGTGTGTTGGATTAATGCAGTTAAGCCCTCTGGGTCTCTTCTGTTAATCGGAATCTGCAGAAGAAGGAATAAAGGCGAAAACACGGGAAGGAACGCTGATCCACAGCAGTGCTAACCCAATTAACTGGGGGTGTAAACACACAAGGGAAGGGGGGCATCCTGAGCTTTATAGAAACCACAATCACTTTGTGTCGTTGTGCTGTGCCTACACACCGAGTAGATCGACCCGAAACAGGAACCAGAACTCACAAATGTCCGAAAACGAAACCTCCACCCTCTTTAAAACACATTTACAGCTAACTGGCATGAACCTGCGGTACCAGAAACCCGAAATAAGCCCGTGATGGAGGTAAGCGAACCTAAATAGCCCACCAATACGCTCCTTCGTACCAAATTCCATTCAAAAACACTTCATTTTAACATTTCGCCCCTGGTTAACGAGAATAAACAACACTCTAATATTTCACGTTTCATAAAAGCTGACTGTAAACATTGGAACTGAATCGAACAAGAACAAGCTCCATAATTTAAACAAATCTCGAGTTAAAATGCTGTTTTGCAGGTTACATGTCGATACCGCCCACTAAGGTTTCAGCGGTCTTTTACTGGACAAACACCGTGGGAATTCCTCTCTAAAACACCCAAATGTGGTGTAGAATTACACGAATATGGTGCCGATTTTTTTTCTTTGTGCTAGATTAAGCGGTGGGCATTAACAGTTGATCATTTTTGGTGTGCTTTTCAGTCAAACGGAAACGTTAGCGGGATGTTGAAAATTGACAGATTTCTGAGCGGACGCTGGAACGCCGTCCCTTCCACCACAGCCGCGGATAGCTAACCCCACCCTGCTGTGCTAACTTCGCCTCCTGCAAACGAGGTCATCGCTCTGAGAGCTCCGGACCAGAACCAGAGGGCTCGCTCGCTGGTCTCGGCCCGGGTCTAGCTAATTAAGCGGGTAAATCTCTGATGCTCGAGCTGAGAGGAGAAACTCCTCCGCCTGGGCCACTAGCACGACTGCTAGCGAAGTGCGTGAGAACCGACGCTAACCCGCAGCTAGCCGTTTATAGCCTAGCCGTCCTACCTGGTGCCCGCCTTGTCCCCCATCTCCTCTGCAGGCGGACGGCAGGAAGATCCCAACAAAATGAGGCCGGACTCGTAGGTGTCTTGACTTTAAAACGGAGGCTTTTCTTCAGGCTGTTCCCCTCACATCGGCGCACAGAGAACTAGTTAGTATGGTAATTTGATTTAGCGCCGCCTCGGCTCTCCACTGGCTTCCGCAAAGGCAGCAGCTCCCCCTCCCCTCTGCGTGTTTGTGCGCGCTCTGCTGTCTCTGTGAGGACCCGCTGCGAAATGAAACAGCAGCGGGCTAATCCAGCTGCTTTACAGGCTGACCGAGGGTTTACTGCTACTTCAAGGTCCATTCATAGTTTGGCATAAATGATTCCTAAACTGCGGTGCAGCGCAGACATGCTGCTACCACCGGCCAGTCAATGGTAAACAGAGCAGGAGATGATTCACATTAAACAGCCTGACATGTTTAAGGTTCACCGCAATCCAGGGCCGTATTACCCACAAGGCTTCAGGTTTCCCGGATCCTCAGGAGCCCCCAGGAGTCCTCCACATTATGAAGCGATACAGAAATCAGGGAGTTGCTGATCTTTACTGTAGCTGATGTTTTTTCCCAATAACACACCAGGAAACACAGTATGACAAAAGTACCAAACAGACGTAATTTTTTTATTTAAAAAGATACAAAACAAGTAGCGGAGCCCAAAAACTCCGAATGACTTTTTCCCATAGACGTCTACATGATCACCAACCACATGGTTTTAACTTGTCCGTCATTTGAGACGTGATGTCCTTACAGACTGGTCTGCAACCGTTTGGCAACCGCTGGTCGGTCGTGAGCGAAAAGTGTATTCCCCAACTCATCAGCGATTGCTTTGGTTGCTAGCAAGTTGCTGCAATCATCCGTGTGTCTGCAAAGCTGTGAAAAAAGCAACACAAATAGAAATGTCGAAGATTCACCTTCAAAGTGGAATTTGTGCCTTCTGACACATATCGGCGTGGTTCTGAGCCATCACTTGTACTTTGAAGGCGACCCTTCTCTGATTTGCATCGCACTATTTCAGGTTTCACCGTCACCACATCAGTAATTAGCAAAGCGTTTGCCCACAATTGGCATCTTCCATGCAAACTACAGGCAACCGAAGCAACCACAAAGACGTTTTTGTCGCAGCGTGCTCCTTGCAACCGATTTCACCAGGCATACGCTAACAACCTCCAGGAACCGTCACCAACTACTGAGGGAATACATACTTTGCCCTAATGTGTATCACCTCCAATATTGCAGACCACTCTGGAGGAATGCAGACTGACATCATGTGACAAGCCTCTAGGAGACTGGAGGTCTTTTTATGCAACCACAGTCATCGCCATCTATTGGTCTTCAGGTAGAACACGGGTTTAAGACACGTGCTTCATTTTTCCAACCTGTTCTGCTGGGCTTCACCTCAGCTTATCCGAGTGCCTGACCAATAAACTACACGGTTTCAGGCTTTAATCTGTAAATCACAATTTTGGGCTATTGTCTTCAAATTTGGACTTATTAAAACAACATTTCTTGAGTTACCGAGTGTCAGGCTAACCCTAGTTTTGAGTTATTAGATTGAAATTTAAATGTAGTGTTAAAGACGAGCTTCCATATTTCCTCCATAGATGTTAATGTTCTTCTGAGCCGCTGTAGGAACAGTGTTTGCGCTGTAAAAGGACATGCAGGCGTTTGCCCTGTGACATCATTGCAGGACATTTGCAAGTTAAGCCTGCAGCTTGTGCAGTTAAAGATTAGATGTTGTCACCTCGTTCCAGACTTAACACGCATTTCACAACTTCAAACTATTTTGTAACTAATTTCTGATATTATCAGCTGCAGAACACCGAGCATCAACTGGGATGTTTCATCATTTAAGTTTCTAACCACGAATGCAGGCGTACAATAAAGCAACAACTTATTTCTTACGACGCAGGAATTTGTTCATGTGTCACTTTTAGAACATTTAATCCCAAAATAAATTTAAAAATGGTCTCGATGAGGTCATCCAGGTAAGTCACCTGGATGAATGAAAAATAGATTTTGCTGTTGATCCTGTTTAATTTCTTGACATATCAAACACATACCCACTGTTAGCTTGTTGTAAAGAGCAGATAGCTCCGTAGGAAACATGGTGTTTATACCATATTTCTATTAATCTTATTAACACACTGATATCAGTTAAAGTTTGATGCTTAAGGCTGCGTACTTTCACTCCAGGCTTAGTCTGTTGGTTTATTGGCTTCGGTGCATTTTAGGAAACTTTCATTCATCTGATGAACTCTCTGCTCTCAGACTAAAGGCGATGTCACAGCAAGAGCAATGGGAAAACCCCACTCCCTTCTTCTGGGAAAGCATAATAAAATTATAGTTATTTGAACTAATTGCATTACTTCAGAAATTCTGTCCTTAGATACACCAACAAAATTTCCATTTTATTGAAAGTTCTTATTAATTACCAAGGGAATAACAGCACGCCACTCATATCTGGAGGTTTGTTACATTTGACACTGAACAGGCGGCGCGCTCGAGAGGAGTGGAGTCACAGGTCACGCATCAAGCATCGCCAAACACTCACTCGGTTTTCGAGGGCTTCATAATCCACTTAACACTAATTGGGTTGGAATGGCACTCCATGTGGCGGACCCTCCACGTGAACACGAGATGGTAGCTCAAAGGTAGCTCTTGTGCTGCCTACATGTGCTAACAACATCTGCTTTCAACGGTCTCTCCTTCCAGTTTCTGCACAACATGAGGTTTGGATCAGAACGTTCTTCATTGGACTTTAAGGACTAACACGTTTATTTGAAGCTAGACAGACACTTTACTCGATTCATCTAGAGCTAACAGTTGGTTCTTTGTGAACAGAAATATTTTATCCTGAATAAGCCCCAAAAGTTGGTTTTCTAACAGTGAAACCAGAAGTGCCTTAAACTGTATTCTTTTCATGGGGTGGCTGTAGCTCAGGTGGCAGAGCAGGTCAGCCACTAATCAGAAGGTCGGTGGTTCGATCCCAGGCTGCCTCCTGGCTGCATGCCAAATATCCTTGGGCTAACCCCATGTTTGCCTACTGGTGGTGGTCAGAGGGCCCGGTGGCGCCTGTGTCCGGCAGCCTCGCCTCTGTCAGGCAGGGCAGCTGTGGCTACAATGTAGCTTGCCATCACCAGTGTGTGAATGACTGAATGTAGTGTAAAGCGCTTTGGGGTCCTATGGACTAGATAAGCACTATACAAATGCAGGCCATTTACCATTTACCATTTTTAATGGCCACCAGGGGGCCAACGACTTCTCGTCCTGTGGACCGTTATCTAACCTAGTGGGCCGTGACGGTACTGCAGGTGTCATAGAAATTCAGTTTTAATTTACTTACAAACTACAATTACATATTTATATTAATTTATGTGAACTTGAAATGCAGGAGAAGTTTGTGTCCTAGTGACAGATGGGTCACGTTAGCCTTAACACTTTGCATATAAACTGCTAATGGGTAACATTAGCAGTTTATAGCCAACAGACTGATTTTGAATAAAATTGTCATGTAAATGCTTCACTCTCTCACACTTTGATCAGAGTGGAGGTTTGAGATCGGGATTTTCTGGTTTTGCAGCACTCCTGACTTTGGGAATCGCTGCTTTGGAGAAAAAGCTTTAACAGCTTTCTTTACGAAGTCATTGACTTCTGCAGAGTAAGACCGGTGACCTACGCAGAGGCTTCGTCACATGTGCCAAGCTGGTTTCGCCCTCAACCCCCACTGATGGTAATGACCCATACCAGCGACTGTCAGGATCAACTCCAAACAGGTTAAATACCTAGGACTCTCCTGTTTTAGAACTGAAGGAGCTCCTTGGATGAGACGTGGCATGTCTTTACAAACATAAAGAAGTCACGCTGCCTTCTTTTTCCCAAACTTTAGGACTAGCAAAGACAAACAATGTCAGATTAAACCAGTTAGCTCCTGAACATCAGCATGAACAGCAGGTGAAGGAATTCACTAGTTTAAACTTTAGTTTGAACTTGAGCAAAAAGAACACAAGAACTAATAACAGGGATTGTTTATAAAGGCCTGAATGGAAATGTAACAGCTGGCTCTTCACTTCCAGGATGCCTACATCCTCATCATCAGCGCCACCATCCATCCACCCTGAGGAAACAAAGAGCTACACAGTGTCCTAAAGCTCAATTTTAATTTCAACTTTATGTCATGCCTAGAAGGTTAAATGCAAGGAGGACGAAGAGAAGTGGAACTGGTCACCGAGCAGAAATGATTCAACTGAATCAGCACATAGCTCCGATTCTGCACAAACCACCAAACACAGAGTCACAAAAGGATGAAACAGCGAGAATCACATTTGCGTTATTGATGTCACGTGTCTCGTCTCCAGTCCTGTGATCAGTCAGTAAGATCATCGCTGAGGTAATCCAAATGTTCAGATCCGGATCGTGTAGGAGTCCGAGTGGGTGACGTATCGGACCCAACGCTGCGAGGGGCCAGGCTGGATGGGCGACAGGCGCAGGAAGCGGATCTGCAGCCCCGTGGCAGTGATCTTCGGCAGCTCGAAGCTCAGACCCACCGGACCGACCTCCAACATAGAGGCCGAGCTGAGGCTGGGGACCTCCAGCTGAAAACAGGGGGGGCAGAGGTGAGGGGTGGGGGTGCTCGTTAGTTAATAATTTATATGTTCATGTGATAACTTGTTATCTTTCACACAAACTATAGGCAGCCGAGGCTTTCAGTATCACCTCACACCTGTCTGGAGATTCGCACAAACATTCGCAAACCTCTCGGTAAATTCATTTTTGTCCCTAGCGACCGGTGGTTGCCGGGCGGTCACTATCAGCCTTTAGGCCCGTGTGAGCAGGCGTTTAGCCAGCGTGACGGAAGTAAAGCTAAACGTTTCCTCTATTAATATTTCTGTTTTCTTGGAACTTTTTAATCACATTGATGGTAATGAATCAGATTAGCGTGTTTTCACGGGACTGTGCAGTCATGTGAAAACACGCCATACTTGTTCAGGCTTTTTCCAATTGGACTGTGTTTCCTTCAATCAAAGCACAAATCTAAAACCTGAACCGTCTCTTAGGATTAGACACATCACTGCACCATCCTCCATCTTGATTTCAGTGATCACATGACCACTTTGCCTGTTGTTTGGAGGCAGGTGCCACTGAGGGAGGAGGTCCTTTCCTAAATCTCTGACCGATCAGCACGCTGTAACAGAGGGCGTGAAGCACGAAGAATAACGTGTAACTGGAACTCCCGATCGTTTTTGTCACTGCTGTGATGGCGGCCATGTTTGCGCTTCGTTTTTGTGAAGCTGCAGGAAGCGGTTGAGTGTCGCCCGTCTGTAACTACATTTATGTGTTTGAAAGTTTCATTTTGGCCTGCATCACAAG